GTATGGCATTCCACGGCTACAACTCCCTCTTCCACTCTGGAAAACGCATCTTTGAAAAGCAAGGAGCCGTCGTCATTCTTTGCATTTTACCTTGGCATTTTGGCCTGTACCTTGGAATTTCTTCCCACTCTCTTGTTATTCCAGCGTTTCACTGTGATTATGGGCTGTTAATGCCATTATTTTGTTATTTCAAAGGAAGGAATGTTCTATTGCTTTTTGGGGAGTATTCAGCCACCCGTCTACAATTAGTGTTTTCAAGTGTATGCCAGGTTCTATTTTTCCTTTTCCTTTTAAATTGCAAGACTCCAAGTCAGTATTCCAAAATCACTTTTTGTTTGTCTTAAGATTACTATGTCGGCAGCTTTGTCACAATTATTTAAGTAACTAATCGAGAATTGATTCCCCCCCCAAATATATTAAAATATCATGAGATCAAATTTATACTAGGAAATATGTGAAACTGACACAAGCTAGAATCACACGGTCTGAAGAAATCTTTTTGAAAATGATTGGATTTTACATTCTGGATAGATTTAAATGCTAAATAGAGTATTTAAAACACAATCCTAGATGCCTTTTACTGGAATACGATAGCTGGAAAAACAGGGAAGAAACACATTAGATTTGATTCAGTTTGGTTTTGTGATTTTGATTAATTCAAGAATTATGGATTGTTACCTATATGTTATGCCACGTAACGCAAAAAAGAAAATGTCAGATATACATATGGATTGAAACCTTTATAAAATGGATGGCCCAGGCCCCAAGGTAGGCAGTTACCTAGACAAGGTACGCCAAGAGCCAAGAGCCTCTAGCCAAGTTCTCCAGAACTGGCTGCCACCAGAATTTTTATGAGAGGGGCAGCAGTTAATCCTGAAGATGTGGTATTAGATGCAAAGGTTCTGTCAGGGAAACTCATTTATCTTTTATTTATGCAACTCACAGTTCTATTGAGAATGCTAAAATCTGTATATATGGTATGCTTTTTAAATTAGGCTTCAACTAATAAATCAATGGCTAGCTTTCATATAAATGTAAAGAGGACCAAAAAAATGATTTAAGGTACCTGGATCCATAACTATTTTATGATCTTCAGGCATCAGTTGAATTACCTCTCATTACTCACGTGCAAAATGGGGAAGTTGGGTTATTTCTATGGTCTGAGAGTGGTTTAGTAAAGACAGCAGAGAGCATTCTGTTCAGACAAGCTTAGGTTACAATCTCAGCTCTGCTGCCTTTTCTACCTGGTACTTCTGTCTTTTTTTTTTTTTTTTTTTTTTTTTGATAAGTAAATTGAAAGTAGAAATATCTACCTCCTGGAATTGTGAGAATTAGATGAGCTGGTAGAGATAAAGTCACCAACAGGCAGGAAATGGTGGCAGCTTTATTACTGCAGGTTGAATGTTGCGCGTCTCTCTCCAAATGCCCTCTCTCAACTCTGTTCCAACACCACAATCCTATGACTTAATCCTCCACTCCAACTGGACCTTTCTTCGGTCTATAAAGGGCTAGGTGATACCTAGGAATCCAGCTCAAAAAACAGCTGGGAAATACATAGTAGGATATCACAGAATAAGATCTATGCTTGAGAAAAGTATCTCCTATTCTCCTTCCTTAATGGTGTCTATAGTAATGATTCCATCCACCCATCCGTTCATACATTCAATAAGCATCGATTAAGCTTTGACTATGTGCCTGGTCACTGTCCGTGTTCCTTGACCTACCTCTTTCCCAAGCCAGTGTAGACTAAAATTCTGTTTATGAGTGAAAGTGGTGAATATTCTGGCACCAATTGTTATGTACTTGTGATTTTCTCATTTCTAAGGCAGCTTTTCTGTATTTACCTCCAGACTATTACATGGCATATGGTTTGGTTTGGGGATATTTTCTTCACACCTTCCTAATTAGATCAATTTTGTCTTCAAACTCTCTGCTTAGAATATATTCCAAGACTGTATTCTGGTCCCTTGCATTTGTAAAATTGAAAAGAAATCTATTCAAGTTTCTGCGATTTTTTTTCTCTACCAGTCAGATCTTATACCCATTTACACTTGTTTTGAAATGTGCTGACACATAATGGGAATTCCAAAGTTCCCAATATGGGGGGAATTGCCATTTGAAAAAAAAATCTGTGCAATACTTTCATAAGCCATGTATAAAGTATTGTGTGTAAGACAGTGGGGTAGTGATGAGACATAGATCTAAGCCCAGATACATCAGTGATGTGTTATGAAAGGAGACATGACTGTTCTGGACCTCAGTTTCTATGTCTTGAAAACTGGGAAATAATATCTTATTTCTCAAAGAGAGTACTATGAAAAATAACATTATATGTGTGATAGAACCTTGACAATTACAAAGTCCCTTATGAGAAGTATCAACAATTATTATCTCACCTGAATCAGGCTAGAGCATTAAAGTTGGTCTGAATTTGAGCACTGGAGAAAATGATGACTTGGAACAGATTGGGGTTATTAGTGAATCAAAATAGAACAGAAGAATCACATAGGAGAAATGCATGGTCAATGATGCCAGGGGGCCTGATCCAGGGGCCCTCCATTTGCCCTCACAGAAAGGTACCCTGTGCTACAAAGCCAGAATCAGTAGCGCTCCTTGGGTGGGGAATCTACTAGAACAGAACACCCTAGAAACACAGGACTCTTGACTTTTATATACTTTTGCATGGAGGGATGGAGAAGGGGAGGTTGTACACATTAGGACTCGATGGTCAGCCTTATTTCTGTAAAAGGAAATTCTTGCCATGCCATCAGTGCCTGCCTTCACAAACCATTTCTTTCTGTGCTTTTGGGTCTTCTCGAAGTGTATCATCTGGCCAATTTTATCGGATCAGCATATCCCCAAGGGTCTTCAGAAAAAACATAAAATTCAGGCATGCAGGCAACTGACCAGTAAACGTGAGGCATAGTAAATAGACCCAAACCCAGGTCTGACTCTGGGATAAAACAGGTTACGGTAGAGTTCTCATTCGTTCGTTCATTCATTCATTCATTCATTCATATATTTACCTTAGATTCCTCCAACTCCTCAGTCATGCACTACTCTGGACAGACTCCCCTTGCCCCAATTCCTTACTCTGCCCCAGATTGAGGCAATCCCATCTGCTTCAGGGACCACGTAAATACCCACCATTCACAGTGTGCATGGCAGGAGTCTACCTTCCCTCTCCTCCCTCTCCTTGGAGTGTGGTTTGTCTTCCCATCTCACAGGCATCTGATCTTTGAGATCACCCTTTCATGGTATCTAATACATCGGTCTTTATGAAATGCAAAGCAGTAGGATTTAAGAGAAAGATTGCTGATTTCAGAATCACACAGACCTGAGAATGAATCGATCATGGTCCCATCCCTTGCTTGCTGGGAGACTTTGCGTAACTGATTTAAGGTAAATCATTGTCTCTGCACTCTTAGAACAGATATGGTGAATTCTAGCTTCGAGGCTGGGTGTGAGCACGCAATGTAAATCTTATATGAAATGAGCACAATAGGTTTTCAACAAATGTGCATCTCTCCATTTGCCACAATCTGCGAAGTTGACAATTTCAGGAACAGGACTATGAGGAATAATTTAGATCTAAGAAACTTGTGCACCTAAGGGTTACCTGTGATTTTGGCAACTCCTTGTCCAACCAACTTCATTTCTCTGCAAACTATGATCCAAACCCTTAGCAATCAAAATGGAGATACAATATTTCTTATGCCATATTTTCCAAACATTGGTTTTAACAAAGTTTTCAATTGATGTTTATTTCTTATAAAATATATCTCAAATATATTCACAGTTGGCCACCAGTTAGAAGGTAGAATATGCTTTTAGCTTTATTTTTAAATAGTTTTATATCTAGGAGTTTCAATTTATGTTAGATCTTTTAGTTTATATTAGATCTTTCTTAGATATTTTTCTTTTTCTTTGTTTTTTCTGAGTGTACCGTGTAGGTAAGAATATATTCACAGTAATGAAAAATATTCAGAGTGACTTTTTTTTCTTTTTCTTTTTAACATTTCTGTTTCATATGTTTACACTGCTTTGTCTGTTAGTTTTTGTCAGCACTGAGCATGATTTATAGTTGCAAGCACTTTCTTTGTGGAAAACTGAAATTCTTCCTGTGCCTAGAAAATGTGTGCATGTTCTTGAAGACAGTACAAAAGAGAAGCACCTTTAACGCATACTGAGATTCTTTTATAGAACCCTAGAAGTCAGAATCATTATATTGTTCTGCAGTTTATACCCCAGGGGAGGGGGGTGTTTCCACTTCTGGGAAATGTGTAGTATTCTTAAGGATTCCATGGGACTTGTGGGGAGGGGAGGTGCAAATGGGTCTCCAAAAACCACTGAGGATCCGTCATGACTTACTTTCCCCCTAGGTTTATTACTATTCCCCCTTACTATTCTAGGCCTTTGCTGATTAAATGATTTATTACCGAATTGAGGGGTTTTTACAACATATTTATCAGTTAATAGTAAAACGCGCCTCAGGCTTTGAATACAAGTAAGCCCTCAAGACTGTCTATAATTCAGTTATGTGACAATCTGAAGATTTGATAAGAACCTAATAAGACATGAAAGGTTGGTGCATTTTTGGGAAATGTCCAGAAATGGGTTAAAAAACACGTGAAACAGAGAGGTGACGTATATATTTCAAACAAGCCTAATAGAGCAATAAGAAAAAAAAAAATATTTGGAGAAACTGTAGACAAGAGAAAACAACCATCCCAACAAAAACAGCATAATAGAAAACTCGTTGCAACATTGTATCCCCCAGTGTTAAGATAAAAACTTTGATTGCAACGTAATCTGTGTTTAATTCACTGTAAACAGAAAGAAAAAAAAAAAAAAGGAAGACAAATACCTGTTTATACTCATCCCCACGAGGCACCATTAAAGTTCATTCTAATTCTGTGAAATATCAATATCTTTCAGGAAAATTCAACCTTTTGTGACTTGTGCCAACTAAACATCAGAAATCTTCCAAGAATCTAAGATGTTTCCAACTCCGCTATTTATTGGGCTTTTTGTCATATCGATGGATACTGCAGAAGTTGGCATCGAGTTATATGTAGTGATGGAAATATTCTATAATATGGGAAGAATGTATTATTTTTCTTGATCCATGAATTCCCCTCAAGACTTGAATTGTCTGTAATAAAAAAGCAGAGAAAATGCTTGGGCATGCAGAATCCAAAATAACTATTTTTCATACAGAAATATGTACCCTTGCAACGTGGTGGATGAGAAGAAAACACAATTCTAGGTGTGATTTATTTCTTATATTCAGAATGCTGAATTCTACCTGAATTACATTTATTTACAGACCACTGAAATATTTTTATTTATAATTTTGTGGGTTAAGCCACATGATTCAGTATCCTAAGCTATACTTTGCAAGTGAAGCTAATATAAACACTCATCTTTGCCAATGTAGGATGGTCAGGGTCAAGGTGACCTGAAGGCCATGTATTAGTGGTATCACTAATGTAAATATTTAGGGCCATTCCGTTTTATAAATATTCTGTGGATGTGTGAAAACCAGCAGACTTGGGGGGGGCCTGGGTAGCTCAGTCAGTTAAACGTCTGACTTCGGCTCAGGTCACAATCTCACGGTTTGTGACTTCGAGCCCCGCATCTGGCTCTGTGCTGACAGCTCAGAGCCTGGAGCCTGCTTCAGATTCTGTGTCCCTCTCACTCTGCCCCTCCCCACTCATGCTCTGTCTCTCTGGCTCTCTCTCTCTCTCAAGAATAAATAAACATTACAAAAAAAAAAAAAATTGAAAACCAGTAGATCGGGGTCTCCTAAGATTTTGTATGCACTGTTTATCTCCTTATATCAAGTTTGTCTAAACAACGTTTATACAGTGAAATTGTAAAGGTTCTGTAGACAATTTGCCCATTTCTAGAGAAGATGTAACTCCTTTACCATCTGGGTCAGGAATCCCCAGTGTTTTTTTTATGAGTTTGCTACCAAAAGCTACTGTCCATCAGCTACTTGTTATTCTGAGTGTCTTAAATGGAAGGTTCCTTAGAAAAATGTGTTCTTCATAAAAGAAACCCAGACACATAATCCTATCCATTTTTTTTTTTTTTTTTTTTGTTGGCTTTATCTCTGACTGGAGATTTGCTTTGCTACACCTAAGCTTTTCTTGATCTTCTCCTCTTCTCCTTAAACTCCTGACCATGGAGGAAGAAGAATTACATGCCTTGTCACAGAAAATAAGAAAGGTCCATCTACTAATTTTTAAATCAGTCTGAATTAAACTGCAAGGATGCTTTTACAACTGGAAATATACAACTGTCTTAGGTTAAGGCCCACACAGAACCAACGAACTATTTGACATGGCACAAAAACAGAGCAAAGGAAATTTAGGTCAGCATTTTGGTAAAAACCTAATATTACCAAAACAGTGTTTATAAATTGTTGCATTACCTTTGTAGGTGAGGGTTGCTTGCATAAACATACTTCTCCCTTGCTTAACTAATGTAAATAACAGGCATGTCGTATTTCCTCTTTTCTCTGAAAAACACCAAGAACAAAATATTGCAAGAACTCTCATAAATAGAAAAAGGCTGAAAGTGTATTGCAGAGGGCAACTTTATAAGGCAGGAAGTCTTGACAATGTATTTTACCACTTAGGGTTTACAGTAAATTAACAGAAATAAATACATACAAATTTTATTTTTCCATTTGTTCTTATAATGACAAGTATTGCTAACAATTCTAAATTGGCTCCGAGGAAAACTTCATAAACATACAACTTTTATCTGTCTTTCTTATGTTCAAATTCAAAAGGTCTTTCCTTTTATCCTTCTCATATTTTTGAGTGGATGACGAGAAATTGAAATATAAGCCCTCTTGAAATGTTATGGATTGAACCTGAACGGATCAGAGCTCTACCTGTGACTGCCCAAAGATTAGAGACATGTTGAAATTCATGAGGTGTATGTGAAAAGCCATTGATGATGGGTGATGGGGTTTTGGAGTGATGATGGGGTTTGGAATTGACGGCCCAGAAAGAATTCTTGAAGACGTCTTTGGTGCAAAAAGGTGATTTCATTAAAGTACCGGGACAGGAACCGTGGGCAGGAACAGCTGCCCTGGGGTTGTGAAGAGTGACTGATTATATATCTACAGGTTGGGAATGGGGGGGTTGGTTAGGGACAGCGTACGTCTCTAAGGAATTGTGGAAGCAAGGTTTCCAGACCTTGAGGCTAGCTGTTGTTAGAAAAATGTCATTTATTACTGTTTTTTTTTTTTAAATGTTTCTTTTTATTTATGTTTGAAAGACAGAGAGAGAGAGAATGCGCAAGCAGGGGAGGGACAGAGAGAGAGGGAGACAGAATCTGAAGCAGGCTCCAGGCTCTGAGCTGTCAGCACAGAGCCCGATGCAGGGCTTTAACTCGAAAACCACGAGATCATGACCTGAGCTGAGGAGGCTTAACTGACTGAGCCACCCAGGCACTCCCACTGTTAGTAAAACCTTAGTCATGAGCTCCTTCAGATGTATATCAGGGGCCATATGCTTGGAGTATAATATAATGCCAAAGTATACTTGAGGGGTAAAGATAAAGGTTTGCTAAGGAATTTTTACGTATTTAAAGAGATTCACAGGATCCTGGCGGGGCAGGATAATGTTAAACCAAGATTCTCTTGTGCCCCTGGCGTAGTGTCATCATCGAGGCAGCTGAGCGCTTAGAGAAAGGTCACTATGCTTGATTCAGGACTTGTCAATGGAGTGTAGGCGGTAAGGGAATTTAATTTTTCATTTGCCTTTGTTTCCGCCATTGCAAGCACTTAAACACCCTTACATCTTGATGAGGGTGATATTAGAGCTCCAGGAAACAGAGTCTATAGGTTTCCGGAGATTAGGCTATGGATAAGATTGCCTTTTTCTTGCAGTTTACTAAGTTATTCGTAAACTGAAGGAGACTCTTGTCCTGCATGACTTTGATCTCTCTCAGTCAACCATTTGTTTCTTTCCTTTCCTTTGTTCTTGGGCAGCCAAGAGTGTCCAAGGAATATCACATATATCCCACCTGGGGGAGGGGGAGGGGTGTTGTCAGCTTGTATTTTGCCTTCAGCTTGCCTTATGGTCCCTCATCAATGTATACTTGAAAAAAAAATCACAATTCTAAAAAGAATTTACTTTGCAAAGAGGTTGTTGAATTTAAAGACAAGTGAGGTACATTCGATAGAAAGTAGCCAGTCAGGTGCCCAAATTTTCTATCCTCTTATTTAAATAGCACATCGCCATCAACCTCTAATTTCCTTCTTTGTTTAATTCTTCTTCATAGCATTTATTACCACTTAACGTACGTTTTGTTCTCTGGTGTATCCTCAATGCTTACAGCAGTTTCTGGAACACTACTGTTGCTCAAGTTACACATGCTGAATGGACAAATAATTGAAATTATTATATCTATTATCCAGTGAATTTAGTGCATTTCAAATGTTATAATGATACCTGTTAAATATGTCATTAGAATAAATAGAATAAGATGGTTTTGAAGGATATTTGATCCAGGCTTTAAAAAGTCCCCCACATTTTTTTTTTGAAGCTTTCTTTCTCCAAAAAGACAATAGCTTCCTGTTAATTATAGAGTTCGTTCTTATTGTGTAGTCCAAAAAAATTACTGATTTAGAGAATTGTGATAAACTTTTCTATATTAATAGTGCATTTCACCCGAGGCTTATGATGTATTTTGATATTCTGGTTACAATTTCCACTTCATTTCAGAACCCATTGTTGTTTGGGGACGTACTGTGTTTCACATCCAGTGGGCCACTCAAAGCAACCCTGCTGCCCAAGAGCCGTTCGGTCTCATGGAGATTTTGACCGACTAACCTTGAGTTGGTCTTCTGATCGTCCCTACACATTTGATTGTAGGTGACACCAGTTGCCATGCATAGGGAACTCCTCAATACTTATGGCTTCCCTGGAATCAGACACATAGCATAACGAAGACGAACAGCGAGTACTCTAGTCACATTCTAATTATTGACCTCTTGCTGTGTAGTCACATCAAGTAATATATTTTAGGCCCTGGAGTACAACTTATGGTACAAACTTTTCACAAAATTTTGGATGAATTAACCTTCCTTCACTTTTTCAGCACCTTGCATAAGCCCTCTTAATTCGCACCTATCCCAAAACAAAACAAAACAAAACAAAACAAAACAAAACAAAAGCATGGTCCATAAAAGAACAGATTGAGCAACTGCTTTTCATTAAAATTAAAGACATCTACTCTTCATAAGATGCTGTTGAGAAAATGAAAAGGGAGAGAATATTTGCAAAGCACTATGTGCATATGATATGCTTCATGATACATGATAAAGGATACGTCTTCAGAAGATACACAGCAATCCTCCAGTATCCACAGTTTCACTTTGTACCAGTCAATGGTGATCCAGATGGCGATGATCCTTCTTCTCACCTGTTGTCAGAAGGTCAATAGTAGCCTGCACCATGTCATAGTGCCCACGTCACTCACCTCACTTCATCGCATCATGTAGGTATTTTATTGTCTCACATCGTCACAAGAAGGGTGAATAAAGTACAATAAGATATTTTGAGGGAAAGAGGCCACATTCACATAACTTTTATTGGAGTGTGTTGCTAAAATTGTCCTGTGTTATTATTGGTTATTGTTGTTAATCTCTTACTGTAGATAATTTATAAATTTGTCATAGATACTACTGTAGAGGAAAAAAAAAACAGTATATATAGGGTTTGGGAGTATCCACAGTTTCAGGCATCCACAGAGGTCTTGGAACATATTCCCTGTGGATAAGGGGAATTGTAAAGAACTGAAATGAACTCTTACAATGATAATAAACAATCCAACTAAAAATGGACAAAATATTTGAATAAATCACTAAAACATGTACTGATGACAAAGGAACACGCTAAAAGATACTCACCCTCACTAGTTAGTTTGGAGATAACAAATTAACGAGCTACCACAATGAGCTAACGATATATCCCTAAAAAAAAAAAAAAAAAAAAAAAGACCTGCTATACTAAGTGTTGGCAAAGTGCTTGGGGGATTCGAAATGTCATACACTCATGTTAGGAATGCAAAACTATTATAACCACTTTGGAAAATATTTTGAAGTTTCTTAAATAGTTAAACATAAACTCAGCTATTCTACTCCTAGTTACTCAAGAGGAATGAAAGCTATGTCTTTAGAAACACTTTTATGTAAACATTACTATCAGCTCTATTTTTAATAGCTACAAACATTCCACATGTTCAGCAGATAAATGGATAAACAAGTTGTGTGTTATAAAATAGAGGGTTAGTCTATAGTGAAAAGGAATTTGTACTACAACATGGAGAATGTAAATGTCAATAGAATAACTGCTAAATTAAAGAAGCCGTGTAAAATAAGACAGTATGGTTCTATCTATTTTAGCAAATGACATTTAACATATAGTGGAAGAAAGCAAATGAGTGGTCGTCTTGTGTGAAAGGAAGATGGGGAGGGGCAAGAGAGAGGGGTTACAAAGGGGCAGGAGGACACTTTTTTTTGGAGGTGATAGGATTGTTCAGTATCTCCATTGTGGTGATGGTGTCAGGGGGGTATATACATTCAAACATGGTGTGTATATATGTTAAAACATCAAATCCTACCCAATAAATATGTGCAGTTATCTTATGTCAGTTATGTCTCAGTAACCCTATTCAATAAAATATAACCACAAAATAAAACCCCACTCTAGCTGTCATGCATACAACCTTGTGCTCCAGGCCCTTGCATAGGTGTTACTGGGGGTATGAATTGGGTGGCAGCGAGGGAAGGACCCAGCCTTGCATTCATCAGCTACTGGTAGAGTGTGGAGATGTGATATCCCTTTGAAGTCATCCTGAGAACTCTAAGGAATTGCCTTAGGTTGAGGGCTTGCAGGCATTCTCAGACTTGGCCAGTTTAGTTACCATCTAATATAAAGGAAAATGCAGATGTCATCAAGAATAGAGATTAAGTTTGAGAGGCAGATTCGAGACACCTCTTGCCACACCTTGCCCCTCAGGCTGGTTTGCACGTCCACTTTAATTACCACTCATCCAGTGTTCTCTGGCACTTCCAATTATTCTAGTAGTTTCGAATTTCACAACTCACATTCCAAAAAATTAGACGTTGCTGAGACCTTGGATTTGGGTTTGAAATGTGACACTGCTCTCTACCAGCCGCCTTGTTTTTACCACAACTCTCCCACAGCTGTTTAAGGCTATTAATATTAAATTAATGTTCAAGGAAATTTACAAGTGCTCAGTAGGGGAAAAGGAATGTGAGTTAACCACAGACCTTCCTCTTAGCATGGGCCAGCAAAGATATGCCTGGGCTTCGTTACTGAGTAATGTCAGAGTCCATCTTTCTCAGTCTCACATAAGTTAGTTTTCTTCTCTTGAAAAGGTTGCTTGGATTGAATAATTCTATGCTTACAATCCCTGTATGTTTAGTGAACAGCATTTAGGAATGTGTCAGGACCATTGCAAAAGAGGAGAGTAAGAGTTGGACAAATCACAAATTAGAAATTGTACATTATTCCTTTAATACACGTTTACCGAGCACATCCTAGGTGCCGGGCATTGTGTCAGAGCTAGATGAAGACCAGTGAGCAAACACCAACCTGTTTCTTCTCCTCGCAGAGCTTACAGTTCAGGAAATGCTTTCAGTTAGATGTGCCGTTCATCCCAAACTCCAGCTCCTGGTTCTTTATTCTTCTTTCCCATCCACATTTTCCTCACTCAATAAATTGATGCTTCTATCGTTGAGGTTATAGAATAGTTAGGAATGAGAGGCTTTTGCTCTAAGACCTTCCTAAAAGGGAAACCCTTCTCCTCATCCCCCTCACTACCCCCATTCTCCTCCCGTGCCTCCTTCTTTTCCTCTTTGCCTTCTTTCTCTTTCTTTTGCCATTTTCAGTTTTTAATTTTGAAATAATTTCAGATGTCCAAGAATTGCAGAATTAGTAAAGAGTTTCCGTATATCCTAACCCAGATCTCCCAGCTTTTAACATCTTTGTTTGCTTTACCATTCTCTCTCACTCTCTCTCTCCTCTCCCCGACCCCCTGGGCATGGCTATGGATGTAAATATAAATATAGATAAAATATATTTAAATATTCTATTGATGAAATATTTGAAAGTAATTTTCAGGCATAATACCCTTTCCATCTAAATACATGAGTGTACGTATTCTGTCTAACCACATTACAATGAATAAAATGAAGAAATTAATATTAATAGTACTAGCATCTAATCTAGAAGCCATATATCCCAATTCATCCATTTGTACCACTAATGTTCTTACCTGATCCAGGATCACACGTTGCATATTATTATCATGTTCCTTATCTTGCTTTAATCTGAAACAGGTCCTCAGTTTTTCTCTGTCTTTTAAGGATTTGGGGTTTGTTTGTTAGTTTGTTTGTTTGTTTTTGTTTTTGTTTTTGTTTTTGGAATATAGGCCAGTTATCTTGTAAAATGTTTCTCAGTTTGGGTTTTCCCGATATTTCCTTGTTATTAAATTCAAATTATGCATGTGGGGCAGGAATGCCACAGGGGTAATGTGTCTTTCTTGGTTCAGGCCGATGTGCTATTAGTGGGATGGTAATTTCAACTTTGCCCACTTAGTAAAGGTATTATCTGCCGGTTTTCTCCGACTGAAAGTTACCATTTTCCATTTGCAATTAATAAATATGGTGTTGAGAGGTACTCTGAGATTATGTAATCATCCTACTTTTCAACTATACTTTTACCCACAAATCCATAGATAATTCTTACCTGAAACTTTATTATGAGGGTGGTTTCCAAATAGTGATTTTCTATTTCTGTCATTCCTTTTATCTTTATTAGTTGGCATTATAATGCAAGGAACAACTTCCGTTTTTCCCCTGCTAAACTTCTTTTCTGAAGTCTCTCCATCTGTCCATCCCTGTATCTATCCACCCATCTCCATATTTATATTTTCATACATGCATTGTATAATTCTATGTAGTACCAAAAAGTTCCATGATACAGATCTATTTAATTTTTCTCATCTAATTGAATTTGTACAGAAGGCTCATAGTGATGACCTTATTCACAGTTTTACTACCCTAAGGATAATAATGAAGTTTCAAAAAATTACTACTTTCTATGAGATTAGATCAGAAAACAGGATAAAAATCCATTTTTTTAAATCTTTTGGAAGCTTGTCCATGAGGACAGATTCATGCTTTCCAAAGTGACCTTGCATCATAGGATGAATCCAAATATATCCATGAAATATGTGTTTGGACTGTCTACTTCCTTCAGAGTCTTCTTGTCAAAGATAATACCCAACTGGATTGTAGGCTGAAGTTGTAAGGCTTGTCCACAGTAAATCTGATGTTTCAATCAGGTTGACTGTCTGACTCAAGTTCCACACTTTATGCTTATTTGAGAAACAAAACCTCTTACATCTTCTCATGATAACCCTCTCATCTGTCCATGGTCTGGTCTGATTTGAACTTCCCAAATTTGGGATTTGAGTGATACTGTTCTATTCTGTTGCCGAGGATATATAGGGAACTCAAAAGATTACAAATGAAATCAACTAGTTAATTTAACTGAAGCACATCGCAACGCATTGCAGAAACGGACATGCTAATCAGCTTTCATTCAAAAATGTAAAAGCCTAGGTTTTAAAATTTTTCTTATATATGTCAATTGTGGACAAAATAATATCATCAGAGATGCCATTTTTTAGTGCCTAACATGTGTCCCCAGTGCTTCACATGATACCCTAGGTCCATGTTGATATCCCAGTTTTTCAAATCTGCAGCAGGGGGGTTAGAGAGGCTGCATAATTGGACTGAGCTTAAAGCTAACAGGTGGAAAGACTGGAATTCAAATCCAAATTTGTCTTAATTTAAGAAGTCGTGTTTTCCCTCTGTATTTCATTGGTCGTATACCTGTTACCAGTAATAAATACACAGAGGAAAGACGTGTATAGTCTCTGAAATCACTAAGATGAAAAGCTTATGGGATTCCTTAGTAGGATAATTCAGTCTCTTATCTTTAGAGTACAATAGAGTGCTCAAGTTCAAGGTATTTATCTATCTGATTTGGCTTTCCTTGTTTTGTTCTGTTTATCTCTTCCCTTTGAAATATCGGTATATTTTAAAATCTGTATCTGCTCAAGACATACATTATTTAAAGACCTTAAAATCTGAGAGATAAGGATGATAATGGCACTTTATCCCCATGATAATTTATAACTAGATCAAGCTAAAAGTGAGCTCACTAAGTTGAATTTTCTGTATCAAACAGCAGGTGGTGGTGCTGGGTTATTCTATCAAGTTTAAGTACTTCTAGATAGCACTGTGTTGTTGAACAACATATAACATATATTTTGGTTTCAGAACCATTCACATCATCTTGTTAAGATTTACTTTAGGGGCGCCTGGGTGGCGCAGTCGGTTAAGCGTACGACTTCAGCCAGGTCACGATCTCGCGGTCCGTGAGTTCGAGCCCCGCGTCAGGCTCTGGGCTGATGGCTCAGAGCCTGGGGCCTGTTTCCGATTCTGTGTCTCCCTCTCTCTCTGCCCCTCCCCCGTTCATGCTCTGTCTCTCTCTGTCCCAAAAATAAAATAAACGTTTGAAAAAAAAAAAAAATTAAAAAAAAAAAGATTTACTTTATAAAATAATACACATGATGAGGTCTCAAATTATTTGAAAAATAATTACATAAATATAAATCTTTTAGAAGAAGGACGATGATTATATATATATATATGTTAAATAATTTAAACAGCTTAGTACTTCACACGATTATTTAAATGGTTGTATTTAAATATGTATTTTGAATAATAAATATGATTTAGCATTGGGGAGTAAATATTTATATCAAATATACTCTAAATTTGTAATTATTATAAAATTAGAAGTACTAAATGGTAAACACTAAAGAAATCTTTGCTATTTAGCAACAGATTTATTTTCACTCCTTTAATTCCTCATTGAGTAATGATTACCTTAAACACTTTCAACTAGCCCTATAGCATACACATTTCTATTACTTGTCATTCCACATTCCTATTCCATTATATTCAATATCTCTGCATAATTTATTTTGAGTCCTGGCTGCATTTCCATTCCGAGTTGGTTAAAGCTTAAAGAGAGTGATATTTTCCAGAATCTTTGATCCAGGACTGGATTTGGTTGAATGGTGGGAAAGGGAGGAGGAAAAAGGAGTGTATTACACTCTTTCACCTTATTGGTGAAAAACTGTTTGAATGTTGTGGTTCTGAGGGCCATGATGATGATGATGATGTTATATTATTTGAACCTGTGTCTTCGAGGTCCCAGGCCACACAATGTAAAGGCAACGCTTATAACCTTGGCTGATGATAGAGAATATTAGGCAGCAGATGGTTTCTCTAAAGATTTCTATTACTGTATTGCAGTGCTGACTTTATGGCAGATGGACTGGAGGAATGAAGGGGCGGGTGGCTGGTGTGAACCAGGGGTCCTGTAGAAGCAGCAGAGGTTAAAGCTGAGGCAGGAATTGACGAGAAGTAAGGTGAGTTAGTAAAAGGACTAAAAGTAATGCATATCAGAGTCTATAATGTGGAGATGTGGGGACCACTTACATTTTATTTTAGGACCAATCTATATGACTTCAACATTTTTATTGTGGCCACTGTGACACTGAAACTGAAGTTTGGTGGCAAAGTCATTACCAAACAGTTCTGAATGATCAGCTATACCTATGGCATGGCTGACCTGAGTATATATATATATGATGACATAATATTCATATATTATATATGATTGTATATTTATATATATCACATACATGATATATAAAAGCAATATATATTATATAGTATATATGTGTATATTATTTATTCTTCCGTTGCAAATCCTACCAAAACAGAAGTTCTGGAGGGTAAGAACTTGGGAATCACCATTGTAAAATGATTTTCAGTGTAACTAAAATGCACAGTATACTTCTGAACTACTGGTTTGGATATCTTCAAAACTATTGCTAAAAGCAATAGCTTCATAATATAATGAAAAAAAGAAAAAAAACCTGAAAGCAGTACAGGTGCAGTAGAAGCATACCAGGTTGTGTGGCTCAAAATCCATATGTATTTGGAGCCATCTTATTGGAATAAAATTAACAATTACAAATACAAGATTAGATGCAGTGCCTTCAGAGGAAAGCTACTTCTGAGGCATAAACATTGAAGCCAATGTCACTTCTTATCAGCCTGGACATGTTTCTGGGCCTTTCTGATTTGAGAATAATGGCCTCCTGGGGCTGTCAAGATCCAATGAGCTAACGGCCCTACCTGGACGGTGAAACACCCGACAGCCGTGGAGAGTATCATCCTCTTCATTCATCTCCGATTGCCTACTTCACAGGCAAGAGCGTGACGTGAATAGAGAAAACTGCTCAAGATTTTGAGAAGTTCAGTAGGACCATTACGCACACTTGTATCGCCTGCTTTCTCCAGTTTTTCCAGAGAAATCCAAGACTCTTACACACTTAAACCTTAGTGAGCATTTGTTGGATAAATGACTGCTTAAATGGTGAATGAATGAATGGATGAGTGAATGAATGAATAGAAGGAAGGCTTATGGCCCATCTGCTGCTATCACAAATATGGCTGCACAGCACTTTAGACGTGACTTGTTCATTTGTGGATTTTAAGCTGATTAAATGCATTCTGGGGTAAATGTGATTAGATGAGATGGGTGGAGTGTATCCGTGAGGGCCTCCTGGAGGAAGGTCGTTTTTGCAAAGCTTCAGAAGGAGCTTGTTTCAAAAAACAACAAATGAACAAACAAACAACAAAACAAAACAACAACAAGAGAGGCATCCTAAAGGCCATTTTTTTCATTTCTGTTTCAACGTGAGGGTACCAATAGTGCGAATTCACCTTGTGCAACAGGGCGGTTTCAAGTGAAAAGTATTTAGGCTTTTAAGATAAGCAAAACAAATATTTACTAAGTGTCCTCTGTGGGGAAAAAGAAAAAAAAAACACACACACAGGAAAATTGCAAGGCTTCTAAAAGCTATGTCTTTGTAACCACACTAAATCCTCACCACAGCTCATAGACTCAAGTTTTTCTCTAGAAAAGTAGGGCTTTGGGAGCTTCGTGGCCTCCCAGAATCACAAGATCTTAGATATTAAAAAACAGTGGAAATAACCTAATCTCTGATTTAATACCCATGGTCTCCTACTATATCATTTTATGTAACAAAATATTATTTTTTTGCATTTTGTGAAAGTATAAGTGGACACAGAACTTTTCTGTATTTTAATACTTTCCCTGCTGAGAATATGAATGGCTTTTAATTATTTGCATTAATTTTATAACGTTTTCTAATGGGGTCAAAAAAGTCTACCCATTTCCTGGTAATGGTACCACACTGTGTCTAAATCCCACCCTTCTCACATATAGATCCCAAATTACACATACACACACCCCACACACATACACATGCATACACACCTGTGTAGACATAGGTACACATATCTAATACTTTTTATATTTTGAAAACAGAAAATTGAATTTTAAAAGGAAACTAAACACAACATTTGGATCCTGGTTTACTGAAATACCAGAACATACGTAGGCTAAAGCACATAGAACTAACTACAAAATAGACCGGTTTATAAACTGAGCTGAAAACTACCAGGAACATTCTGGATATACAGGTGCAACGTGAAATTTATGCTTCTCGGTTTTTTCCTATACCCTCTGTGAATTTTAATTAAACATGTATCAGAAGAAATAAAGATTGGGTGGAAGCTATAGTTTAGAAACAATAAATTTATCAAACAGTCATAGGCAGCTTTTTCTGATTTTTTTTTCTCATTTTATCAGTCTTGCTGTTCTGAAGGACCCTACTTAGACTTGTTCATATAAACAAATACGCCTTGTGTTGTGTGTGTGTCTAAAAAGAGACTTTTAAGCTTGTCCCCTTTAATTGATCTCTAAAACCAAGATAAAGCCATCCTGGTCTTACTCTATAAATATTTAAATGTTTTATTTTTCGCAGTCATTTGTGATGATGCCTCTGCTTTATACCAACAATGTGGCAGGATCTGAAGACACGTGATTTGGGACATATGTTTCTGGTTTGTGATTGGGGTGCAAATTAAATGCAAGAGGGCAATCCCAAACAGAGGGTGTGTGGCCAAATTAAACAAGTTTATGCATCCATAAGGAGAGCCCAGATATAGGAATTCTAATTAGGAAAACAATATGATATTCTCTCTGGGCTCCTGGATTTTCACTCAAAATGTTGAACTTCCTTGGAAGGTCTTCATATTCGCTTTTCATTTGAAGTCCCAGATTATTTTTGCGAAAATCAATCCTACGTGATACTTTTAAAGTATATGCCCTCACTTTCTTTTCAAGGTTCAAGGATTGTGGATGTGTGCTATTGGTTTGATTCCCAAATTCTGGCAGATGTCCCAAAAGAAAAAAAAATGCATAAAACTCTAGACCCAAAAGTGCCCATTAGTTACCTCTAAGCGTGCCAAGTTGTCGAACGATATTACAGTTATGATCTTTAAAGCATTTGTAAAAAAGCTGGATAACTTTGTGTAAAAAAGCTGAATTTTATAGCTTCGCCTATGCCAAAGAGATTTCCAACAGAAAGCACCCTGGTAAGCCTAATTATTACTCCACATATGGTACATGGCATCATAAGCTATTTTTGAGGTTTTGGGAAAGAGAGAGCCAAGTGACGACCACAACAGGGCGTGCTGAACAATTTTAACTCTGAATCTAACATCCCTAGTTGGCAGAGCATAAGACACAAAATGCTGCTTCAGCGATCCGTCTCTCACATATTTAATTTGAGGGCAAATAATTTAGTTAAAATTTACGGGGTGGGGTGGAGAAGGGAGTGATATACAAGAAGTCAGGATAGTGCACCTAGAGTCAGGGAAGATTGTTCTTCAGAATATCACAGCCGTTATTAGCAAGGGCAGGTTTCATCTCATACTTTAAAATCATGTCAGCGTTTATGACTTTAGCCTTCATTGAGGGAAAAATACATAATCTGAGTTAGAAGGCAGCTGAAGTTGAACATTAAAAAATTTTAGCTCTCGAAGGTGTTAGGCTGTTGCATAAACAAAATAATTTGGGGAGAATGAACTCAGAGAAACATGGAAGCCATCACCCATTTATCAGAGTTGCCTGTATGTCTTTAACTGATTATGTTTGAAAGGTTCTTCAGAGAAAGAATTAGACATTAAAGAAAGAGGGGTATTTTATACTTACGACTTCAGTGTGTCAGTCCAGTGAGAACTATTTCTAAATCAGTTATGTGGATATCTCAACGTGGCTTCAGATAAATTCAGGCATCCTTCTACCTCCATCCCTGAAACATTTTAAAAGTCAATCTTGTCTATTGTTTAGTTGCAGAATCTTTTGCTCAGAGATCATTATGACACTGGAGGGGGCATGCCCATAATGCCTGGGACACTTATAAGGCATTCACACATATTGAATGATAATTATGCTTACATCTCTTACCATCTTTTGTTGGATCTCTAAAGCCTTTGATTCTACAAGTCTGAAAAACTTAGCAGATTCCTGGCACCATTTCCCTCTGGTTTTAGATAAAAGTAAGAATTTCCTTCTCTAGCGAAATAAAGGGATATGCGTTTCCAGTTTTCCATTCTAAATATTAAAAAAAAAAAAAAAAAAAAAAGGACACTGCTTAAAGTTAAGGATTGTCTTCACTAGGGCAGCGTCATTGGGAGCAAGTAATTAATATTCCCAGTAGATCTATATTCATGAGCAAGGCCAAAAGAGAATCATGACATCAGCATTTTGGGTGGCTTTTTATTCTTTTGTGGTTATTTCATACTCTTTTAAAACAAAATCAGATATACTTTACTTACTTTATTTAAATATACCAGTTAACAAACGAGGAAAACCAAATCCAGGTTTTAATCCCGCCTTATTTGTATTTGTCAGTTGAATGATTTATAAACCTCTGTGGCATAAAACTTCTAAGCATTATGATAAGATTAGAACAGCTTCATTTTTTCTTTTGAGAATGAACTAGAATTACTGTTCTTTAAATCTGGCCTCTCTTGTTGCTATTGCTGTTTTCTCCAAAAGGTGGCGCTTGTGTAACCTTTTTCTTCCTCAGGGTGCAGAGCGCCTGGGGAGCCAGAGGGACCAGAGTGCATTTTCAGAATTGTTTTCCTTTGACAAACTCCAAGTAGCCACTTCAAAAATCTGCATTTTTGTAACTGCAGGTCCTTTATGTGCAAAGAACCCTTTACATAAGAATTAGTCTGATTTTGTGAAAGAAAAACATGCTTCCTGTCTTAGTTTAGTTTAAACCTTAGAGTTCTTTAACCCAAGTTTATTTTATAACGTCCTTCTTTCCTTCTGATCTTTGACTAAAGTTCTAATTTTTTTTGATAACCTTGATCCATTTGAAGTTGTCTTCCTTCATTAGAATGCAGAAGCAACACACAAGTATGTCTGGACTATATCTAAACAAACCTTTCTGACAGCATAAATCAAGAAGGGTAAATC